GAGGGTAGGGCACACCCAGGAGGGTGGGCGTGCCCCCTATCTCGTGGCCTCCTCGATGATCCCCTGGCTTGCACTCCAAGTTCCTGGGATTGGTTCTGTTCCAAAAATAACTTTGCCGAAGGTTTCATTCCGCTTGGACTCCGTTTGATATTCCTTTTCTTCGAAATACTCAAAGACAATAAAACAACAATATGGGTTGGGCCTCCGGTTAGTAGGTTAGTCCCAAAAGTAATATAAAAGTGTATAACAAAGTCCATAATCATTCAAAACAGATAATAAAATAGCATGAATGCTTCATAAATTATAGATACGTTGGAGACGTATCACGCTCCTCAGCGGTAGTACCGTTTGGAGCCTTCCGCCGTAGTACCGTTGCGGCCCCGTGCTCCTACCGCCTCGACTCGAGGGCCCTTTTTCTCGTGTCGGGCTTTGCGGCACTAGCTGCGACCGTAGAGGCGGTAGTACCGCCCCCAAGCGGTAGTACCGCCCTTACCACCGCGGTAGTACCGCTCCGGGTCCAGACGGCAGCATCGCTAGGTGGGACGGTAGTACCGCTGGCTCAACGGTAGTACCGCCCACCCCAGCGGTAGTACCGCTCTCTACGGGGCTGCTAAGGGGGGTAACAGTTGGATTGTTCCCCCCACTATATAAGGGGGTCTTCTTCCACAAAGTTGACCCACCTCTTCCCCCAAAAGCTCCATTGTTGCTCCAAGCTCCATTTTTGCCCAATCTCTCTCCCTAGCCAATCAAACTTGTTGATTTGCTCGGGAGTGGTTGAGAAGACCCAGATCTACACTTCCACCAAGAGAAATTTGATTCCCCCCACTAATCCCCAGCGGATCTTGTTACTCTTGGGTGTTTGAGCACCCTAGACGGTTGAGGTCACCGCGGAGCCATAGTCCATTGTGGTGAAGCTTCGTGGTGTCATTGGGAGCCTCCAATTAAGTTGTGGAGATTGCCCCAATCTTGTTTGTAAAGGTTCGGTCACCGCCTTCAAGGGCACCAATAGTGGAATCACGACATCTCGCATTGTGTGAGGGCGTGAGGAGATTACGGTGGCCCTAGTGGCTTCTTGGGGAGCATTGTGCCTCCACACCGCTCTAACGGAGACATACTTCCCCTCAAAAGGAAGGAACTTCGGTAAGACATCCTCGTCTCCACCGGCTCCACTCTTTGTTACCTCGTGCCTTTACTTGTGCAAGCTTATTTGTGTTGTATCCCTTGCTTGCGTGTGTACTAGTTGTTGTTGCATCATATAGGTTGCCCACCTAGTTGCATATCTAGACAACGTACTTTGATGCAAAGTTTAATTTGGTAAAGAAAAGTATAAAAAGGGTTAGTTGCCTATTCACCCCCCTCTAGTCAACTATATCGATCCTTTCACCAAGTCTACCCGTGCTTATTCTTTTTTTTTTGTTCATCCTCGCGCTCATTCAGCTGGCGCCACCACATGGATCGGCAATTTAGTAGGGTAGTGGTGGCGACATGGTTGCTGCTCAGATGCTTTCAATAAGTTTTGTTGCTGGTGTGCAGGTTGCTTTTTGATATTATGCTCAGTAGATTTTATTGACTAAGGCTAGCACTTCTTTTCTTTTCTTTGAAACCCTGCTAAGGGCCACAGGTATGACACGAACATATAGCAATTCTGAACATTTTTTTATGTCAAGTTTAGCGATACTGAGATGGTAATTTTGTTGTCAAGCATTGGCAACTTTCTTTTAGGATGGCAAGTTTCAGTTTTTTTATTTGTTTTTTTCTTTTTGGGTGGCAACTTTAGTTTTAAAAAACGTCAGAGCCGGAGTCACACATGTGGCACTTATCATTTGGATTTCCTTTTGGTTTCTTGTTGAACTCTTGTAATGATGTCGGTTTCTTCAATAGAAATCGATCGATAGCCCCGTAACTTAGAGAAAATACATTCGACCCAGCTGATATGGGAATCTCATTGAGCATCTGAGCATAAAAGAAAACACTCCTACTTTGGCAGCAAAAGGCGTGTGGCAAATTACCTTTTTTTCACTCAGCACAGCAAAATGCGTGTGACAAAGTATCTTCTTTTAACTCGTTCTACTTTTTTACCGATAATCTGCGTCGATCTACCAGCCGGTAGCCCAGGCTAGTCGCGAGCGAGCCATTAGATCTGACATGTTGGGGGGGGGGGGGTGCGGGTTGCCCCCACTTCCCCCCTCGCGCGCAAACGCGCACTCGACGTTGTCGAGTAACCATCTCACCTGCAAACACACCAACATTATAGCAAGGCTGCCCCCACCACTACTCATGAAACACCTTTTAGGCTTGTCGCTCCTCGCCATGCAACACCATCAAGCATAGCTGTCGGTTGCAGCTCTGCCATGGGATGACTGTAGCACGCTCTGGTGCCAGTCGCAACACATCACCTCGTTGATTGTAGCATGTCGTGCGTTGTTGGTCCCCGTATGGCCCGGCACAGCTCGTGGCATCCCATGCTCATGCTACAGCTAGTTGTAGCATTGGCACCGATAGTTACAACTCCCTTGGTGACCGTTTCCAGCATCCTTAGTCTGATGTTTCGCCATTGCAACTCTCCGTGTGGTCGGCTCGAGCTTGGCATGCTAGTGCTTGTAGCATCTTAGTGCGATGGTCACAACATCCTCTTCTAGATAACTGTGCATAGTTGCACTTTCCCAGTCACTGCTCTTCGCACCACCTCACGTCGGTTTCAGCTTTGCCGATGACCGGTTCCAGCATTGCTGGTGGACGGTCGCAGCTCTGTCGATGGCCGGTTCTAGCACTGCTGGCACTGGCGGTTGGTTCTAGCAAAGCGTTGCCCTCGGTCACAAAGTTCAGTGGTGTCGTCTCCAGCACCGGCATCTGGTTCCTAGTGATGTCTCAAGCACCTGTTCGAGGCTCGTTGTTCGCAACTTCAGCCGACACCGATCACAACTCCGGCCATGCCCAAGGCAATGGGCTTCAGAGACGGGGGAGGTCGACCATGCTTCATCGATTGGAGCGAGCAGCGCGACACTGCAAGAGGAGAAAGGAGAATGGAATATGTGGTGCAGAACAAGCCCGCGTGCAAAGAGATAATTCAGAGGGCGTGGTGCACGATGGCATTTGCGAGACATACGATCCGGCCCGATCCAATGGGCAGCTCGCAACCGGTGGAGGCTCTGGCCGGGCAACCGAAGAAAATCGTTTACTGTGTTTTTTCTTAAATTAGTAAGCAAAATATGTTAATCAACTTTCTTTTAACATCAGTACAGACACAAGCCCTCGTATACACGCGCATACACTCACCCCTATGAACGCACACACGCACACTCTACCCCTATGAGCACCTCCGAAAGACTGAGCCGACATATCATCTTGAAATTTATGAAGTCACCATAGGCACCTCGTCGTTGACGAGAACGTTTCCTCCCACTGAATGCGCATCGCCGGAAATCCTGAAATAAATCCAAAAATAAATGCGAGCACCAGGATTTAAACCCTAGTGGGTTGGAGATACCATAGTCCCTCTAACCATCCAACCACAGATTGGTTCGCTATTAATCAGCTTCTTAAAATGCCTGAAAGAAACGGTGCTCTCCACCTCACAGGTGGTCTTTTTCTATCGACTCCCTACCAACTGCGGCCTCTTTTTTCATGTAAAAGAAAAAAGAGTTAATTACACAAAACCACAACTCCAAAATAACTTATAACACTTTGCCATAATATTTGAGTTTTTTAACACAAAACCACAACTTCGCGACAACTTATAACACTTTATCACAACTTTTGAGTTTTTTAACACAAAACCACAACTGCTGGACTAATTCTCAACATTGAGCCCAAATCTATCGGTCAACTTCTTTTAACAGCCAATCTGAATGATTGGGCCCACATGTCAGGCTCTAGGCGACAAGATCCCTCCTACGTGGCGCCGACAGAATATGTGTAACATAGCAGTGTGCATACAACATCGCCGTCTCCTCGAGGACGCGTTCATCTGCATCTTCTACGCCATCTATCCCGGAAAAGAAAAAAAAATCTACTGTCTTCACCTTCTTTGTCTGGCGCACTCCGCCCAACCATGTTGTCGTTTGGACAACCGCAACTAGCACATGCATTATACCGTGTTGTGCATAGACAAGGCTCCTGCCTTGTGCTCCACGGTCATAGAGACGCGCTCGACCTCCCCACTGTCTAGTTCACACGCCCCGACCAACCATGCCATAGTCCGGACGGGCGCTGCAAGCACATCTGTGTCGCCACATTGTGCACAATCAGGGTTGCCACCTCGTGCTTCACAACCACTGCAACGTGCTCGTCCTCATTGATTACGACGTTGAGATCATTTGTAACTCCATAGCCAACGACGGTGACATGCGGGCGCGGGTTTGCGACGCTAGGAACCTCACCATCGAGGACGCTTGGAATGATCGTCCCGTGGCAGAATTTTGACCACCCCAACAACACGCAGCTCCCTACTCAATGCGTCGGTGGAGTTCATAGCGCCGGTACGGGATGACAAGAGGAGGAAATTGTAGGCCACATAGGAGATGCGCACATGCCACCTTTTTCCTGCTTAGGTCGTAAGATGTGGACCCAATCAATCAAATTTTCTATTAAAATAAGTTGACTGATAGAATTGAGCACAATGTTGAGAATTAGTTCAAAAGTTATGATTTTGTGTTAAAAAAACTCAAAAGTTATGGTAAAGTGTTATAAGATGAGCTGAAGTTGTGGTTTTTTTTTTTAAAAATCTCAAAAGTTGTGGTAAAGTGTTATAAGTTACCCTGAAGTTGTGGTTTTGTGTAATTAACTCAAGGAAAAAAAACTGCGCCCCCCTTTCCCAAATGCCCAAACCCTGAGCCTCTCCGTCGAGGCGGGCGGCGGCGGCCAAAACGAGCCCTCCATCCCGGTTCCGACCACCCCGCTCCAACCCCAGCCGCGTCGAGCGAGCGAGGCAGGGAGTGGCCACCGGTGGCGAGGAGCGGCGGGCGAATCTTGCGGCCAAACCGTCTCGCCAGTCGCCGGACATGGAGAAGGAGGAGGTCCCGCGGGCCGCGCCCGGCAAGAGAGAGCCCGGTGGAATCGCGGCGCAGCGAGCGCGGATCAGCGACTCCGGCGAGACCGCGGACGATTTCATCAGCAGGCTCCCCGACGTAGTCCTCTGCACCATCATCTCCCTCCTCCCCACCAAGGACGGCGGCCGCACGCAGGCCCTCTCCCGCCGGTGGCGCCACCTGTGGCGCTCCGCGCCCCTCAACCTCGAGGTCCTCACCCGGCTTCCAGACGACCCCATCCCCACCCACTCCGTCTCCCCCTCCGCCGTCTCTGACATAATCTCCCGGCACCACGGCCCCGCCCGCCGGTTCTACTTCCACTGCCTCCGGGACGACGAGGTCTACGCCCAGGCGGAAAGCTGGTTCCTCTCCAGGGCCCTCGCCAACCTCCAGGAGCTTGATGCCAGCTACGGCAACCTCCCGCTGCTGCCGTCAGCGCTCCGCTCGGCGTCCACCCTCCTCGTTGCCAAGATCAGCCACTGTGATCTCCCAGGCGAGATTGTTCCAAGCTTTCCCCTCCTCAAGCAGCTCACCCTAGTGTACGTTTCCATCTCAGCGGACGGCTTCCACACACTGCTCTCTAGTTGCCATGCCTTGGAGAGCTTATGTATGTCCCAAGTTCGTGCTGCCGGTTGCCTCCGTGTTAGCTCGCCAACTCTTAAGAGCATTGGCTTCCGTGATAACCACAGTGAGGAAACAGAGCTGGTCATAGAGGATGCTCCTCGCCTTGTGAGGTTACTATTACCCTATTGTTATCTAGATGATTGTGTGACTATCAGGGTAATTTGGGCGCCTAAGCTGGAGATAATGGGCCCTTTTGCAGCCTTCGTCTCCAAGCTCCTACTCTTCCAGGTAGCTGCAGCATCATCCTCGAATCTTGCATTTGGACATGCAGATAATGAGATAATTATTTGTTATGTTCATTGTTTCTTGTCTTCAGAGAAAAAGCCCAGTCAGCTCAGCAAACTCGATGCACGCAGTTCTTAACATCCTCAGGTGGTTCCCCTGTTTGGAAAAGCTCTATGTCACTGTGAGTACTCATCTTTGCTTGCTTTAAATGTCTGATAGTATGGTTGATATCTTATATAGTCTACTTCCTCCATTCCTAAATATAAGTCTTTTTAGAGATTTCAAGAAGAGACTACATACGAAGCAAAATGAGTGAATCTACACTCTAAAGTATGTCTATATACATCCGTATGTAGTTTGTATTGGAATCTCTAGAAAGACTTATATTTAGGAACGGAGGGAGTAGTTAGCAAGAGCTCCAACACATCCCTCTTCTTTCCATTTTGCAGTTTCATAAACGCTATGAGATGGGTGCGAAAGATGAGCCTCAGTATGACCCACAGCATCCAATTGAATGCCTACAGACCCATCTCAAAAATGTGGTGTTTAAGTTATATTCGGGCAATGGGAAACAGGTTGACTTTGCCAGATTCTTTGTTTTGAATGCGGAAGTGCTAAACAAAATTGTATTTGAAGTACATGGTGACTACAGCAGTGAATCAGTGGCTTTTCAGCACGGGCTGCTACATGTGAAAAACAGAGCTTCTCGAGATGTTCAATTTGAATTCAGGAGTACACATGTTCGTAATAAGTACCTTGGTGACGAGCATATCCATGATTTGTCAGTGTCCGACCCCTTCAGACAGCCATAGACAGGGTTGATGCCTGAAGATTACACTGTCTTGTGCTCATTTTGTAGATGGTGTTGATGCCTGAAGATTGTCATTTGCATAAGTTTGCTCTATATCATTTGCAAAAGTACCGTATGAAGTCGCGCCTGTTAACACTGAGGAAAAATCAAATGGGGAGGGATGCGAAAAAATAACGCTGTAAGTTGTATCTGGAGGCAGCTGGTAAGTGGTAAGCCCATCTGCCAAAAACTCCCCTGGTCTTATCCTGTGCAATCATGGCTTTGTTCTGCCTATGCTGGGCTAGAAACACATGCTTGTGTTGATACTCAATTGTCTTTTCAGTTGCCTGCAGAAGCACTGAGATGTTTGATGCTTAGGAAAGGTCACCTCTGGCCTAGACCTCTATGATTTTCTAGCTAGGAAGGAGATGCTTCTGTAGTTTTCAAGGTGTTCTATCAGATAGAAATTTTGCTAATGATCAAGATGCTTCGGTTGCCTACTGGTTGATCCGTTATTCAGGTTGAGTTTACTGAAATGAAATTGGTCGCATCCTTGTAAGATTTGCAAGTAATTTGCCTAACAGCATTGAATTGGGGCTAAAGGCCTGACAGGAGAGTTGGCTTTGCCTGGGACTCTGATGTAGTACTATACTGCTTCTTAACCTGTTATCAACATTAATACAGTACTAGATAATTATTCATTCTGAACATCTTTTTTGCTTGCGAAAACCAGATTGTTGCTGGATCTTTGTCACTGTGTATTGGGTACCCTATGCACTGTTGTACATAAGAGAGGCTTGAGATCTTGAACGTACTATCAGCGGTTTCGATGGAATTGACGACATTTTAGCATATATCTTTCCCACGGACATAAAATAATTTGCAAGAAACCTTGTGACTTGTTGTGGGCTCTGGTAAATTAGTAGCACGGAGAAATATTTTGGGGGACAGCAAGGTTCTGACGCCACGGTCACACCTACCCGTGTGTGTCGTGGCAGGCTAAGTCTAGTTGGCTGTCTCGAGCATGTGGCGCACTTGCCCGTGGAGTTTGTTGGCTATTTGAGCCTGAACCCTGTACTAGATTCGTTTTCTCTGAAGAAAAGGAAACGTTCTGAACTCACCTGCTTCTCTGTTTCTGTGACGATCCAACGAGGAACGGATCGCACGAAGGGGGATGGGGGATGAGATTCAGAGAAGGGAAAGTAGTTTTGCTGGGATGAGAGGAAAGGTTCAGATTACAGAGAGATGACAGAGTGATCACATCATACACGCATGCCTCACGCGCCCACGCAGGGGCTTGGTTAAGTAGCTACTCTCGGCTGGGTCCCACCGCTGATCTGGCCATCGATGACTTGTCCCTCTCCTTCCTATTGGCTGCTCAGGTCCACCGTGGCACTTGTAGGTGCAGGTGTGACATTTCCCCCTCCATCAGAAGGAGCGTCACCTGGCGCTCCGGCCGTCTCTCGCCAGATTGCAGCGGCCGGAAAACGAAGCTTGAGCGTCTCGAAATCTTCCCATGTCACTGCTACGGGTGAAGCGGAGTTCCAGCGCACTTGAATTTGCACCAAGGCAGCGTCGCCGCGCTTCACCATGCGTCTGTCAATGATCTCCACGGGCGCCGTCTCCACCATGGACAGGTCCGGTGGCTTGGGCAGCTCGGCGAAGACCGGTGTATAGTTGGGCGTGTATGGCTTCAGTTGGGAGACATGGAAGACGTTGTGGATGCGACTGTCCGGTGGCAGAATCAATTTGTAGGCGAGTGTCCCGATCTTGGCCTCCACCTTGAATGGCCCGAAGAACTTGTAGGCCAGCTTGGCGCAGGGTCGATTGACGACGGAGGACTGCGCGTACGGCTGTAGCTTGAGCAGCACGTCCTCGCCCACCTGGAAGGTTCGTTCCGTGCGATGGCGGTCCGCCTTCTTCTTGAAGCGGTGTTGAGCTCGCAGCAGTTGTTGACGGAGGCGAGCGGTGTGCGCGCCCCAGTCCCACTGCTCGTTGTCGAGGACCGGCGCCGGCTTGTCGTCCAAGAGCGCCGTGGCCCCCAAAATTGGGCTCGGTACCATACAGAGCTTTGAACGGGGTGCAGTTAAGGGAGGCGTGAAAGGAAGAATTGTACCAAAATTCAGCGGCCGGAAGCCACCGGCGCCAGCGACGGGGGTCATCGTGGATCGCACAGCGCAGGTACATCTCCATGCATTGGTTGACCCGCTCGCTCTGGCCGTCCGTCTGCGGGTGGTAAGCCGTAGAGTAGAGCAGCTTGGTGCCCGCGGCCGCGAACAGCTCGCGCCAGAGCGCGCTGGTGAAGACGCGATCGCGGTCGGAGACGATCGAATTTGGCACACCATGGAGCTTGACGACATTGTCCCAGAACGCTCGCGCCACCTTGGTTGCGTTGAATGGGTGACGAAGGGGAATGAAGTGAGCAAATTTGGTAAGGCGATCGACGACCACCATGATGGAGTCGTATCCTTCCGAGGTAGGCAGCCCTTCGACAAAGTCCATCGTGAGCTCCTGCCAGGTTGCCGTGGGAACAGGCAGTGGAGCCAACTATCCAGGCGGCCGGCAGTGCTCGTGCTTAGCCTGCTGGCACACCAGGTATTGCTTGACGAAGTCGTCGACGTCACGCTTCTGTCCGGGCCAGAGGAAGAGCTTCTTGACACGCTGGTGCATGGCGGTGATGCCGGAGTGTCCCCCCACTGCGCTGTCATGGAACGCGCTGATGAGCTTGGTGCGGAGCGCCGTGTTGCTGCCGATCCAGAGCCGGTCGCCGCGGCGAATCAATCCTTTGTGCAGCTCGAACCCCTCCTCGTCTGGACTGTGAATGGCGAGGCGGGAGAGCATCTCTTGCGCTGTGGCATCCGTCGCGTATGAATTGGCTACCTCCTGCACCCAAGCTGGCTGGTAGAGGGAGAGCGCGGCCACGCTTAGTGCAGCGCCCACCCGCGACAGAGCGTCAGCTGCTCCGTTTTCTGCTCCTCTTCGGTACTGAAATGTGAACTGCAGCCCTACCAGTTTGGACATCGCCTTGCGTTGCAGATCCGTCTCCAGTTGCTGATCCCCCAAATTAGACAGACTTTTGTGATCTGTAAGGATGGTGAACGGCCCGCGCTGAAGATAGGCACGCCACTTCTCCACTGCCATCATCACTGCCAGAAATTCTTTCTCGTATGCAGACAGTTTCTGATTCCGGACACCCAGAGCCTTGCTGAAATATGCCATGGGATGGCCCTCCTGGACGAGCACCGCGCCGATGCCAGTGTCACAGGCGTCTGTCTCGACGACGAACGGCTTGTCAAAGTCAGGCAGAGCGAGAACCTGTGTGCTTGCCATGGCATGCTTGAGCAGGTTGAACGCAGTCTGCGCCTGTTCAGACCACGTGAAGCCCTTCTTCGTCAGTAAGTTGGTGAGCGGCTTGGCGATAATGCCATAGCGCGCTACGAACTTTCTGTAGTAGCCCGTTAGGCCGAGGAACCCGCGGAGCTCAGTGGCCGTCGTGGGCACGGGCCACTGCAGCATCGCCTGCGTCTTGTCGGCGTCCGTGGCCACCCCCTCCTTGGAGATGATGTGTCCCAAGTATTCGATGTTGTCCTGCGCAAACGAACACTTGGAGGCCTTGACGAACAACTCATTCTGACGAAGAAGCTCGAATACTTGCCGCAGGTGCTCCACGTGCTCTTCCAAGGTGCCGCTTAAGACCAAGATGTCATCGAGGAAGATGATGACGAACTTGCGCGCGTGCTTGCCGAAGATCGCGTTCATCAGACACTGGAATGTTGCTGGTGCGTTCGTTAGGCCAAACGGCATCACTCGAAACTAAAAATGGCCGTGGTGCGTTTTAAACGCGGTCTTGTGCTCGTCTTCTTCTCTCATACGGATTTGGTGATAGCCGGCGCGGAGGTCGAGTTTGGAGAAGTAAGCCGCGCCGGCCAGTTCATCAAGCAGTTCGTTGACGATCGGTAAGGGAAACCGATTCTTGATGGTGATGTCATTGAGCCGCCTGTAATCGATGCAGAAACGCCAGGTCCCGTCCTTCTTCTTGACGAGGAGGACTGGTGCTGCGAAGGGGCTCACACTATGGGTGATGACGCTAGATTGCAGCATTTCTTCGACTTGGCGTTCGATCTCATCCTTTTGCAGCGGCGAGTACCGGTATGGCCGACCGTTCGCTGGTGGTGCGCCGTCCACCAGGGTGGCTGCATGATCGTACTGCCGGTGTGGTGGCAGCTTCTTGGGGTTGCCAAACACATCGGCAAAGTCGTCGAGGACCGCTTGCACTGCTGGGGGCGGGGGCTTGTCCTTGTCCGTGCTCGGCGCGCGCCAGTCCACTACGACCATGTACTAGATACCGTTTCCGGCGTGCCACTTGGCGAACTGATCTGGCTCGATGTAGTCGATGTTGGTAGTTGTGCCCTTGGGACGAACACCTTGCAGTGTCACAGTCTCGCCCTGGTGCGCGAAGGAAATGGTCTTGTCCAGCCAGTGACAGTTCATGGGGCTGTTTTGTTCAAGCCAGTCCATGCCCAGTACGCCATCGTATGCCCCGAGCGCAAGCTGATGCATGTCCGTACTGAATGTGTGTCCTTGGCACCACCACTGAACGGCCGGAATCATGCTGTCGCAAACCAGGCGCTCCCCATTGGCGACGCGCACTTCCACGGGTGGCAGAGGCGTGCTAGTGGCCTTGATCCGTTCCACGAACGCCTGGGAGATGAAGCTGTGTGTGCTGCCCGAGTCCACGAGCAGCAACATCACCTGATTTCCCACCATAGCTCGCAGGCGGATAGTGCGCGGAGAGTCCCCACCAGAGACCGCATGGGTGGAGATGAGGCAACACTCTGGCGCAGGTTGCTCTGGCTCGGGCGCGTCCAAAAGGTTGAGTGCGTGCACGACATCGTCAGTGAGCACCTCGCCGTAGTCACCCACTTGGATGGTGAGCAACTGCGTCTATTGCTTGCAACGGTGCTCGCGGGAGTATCTGTCGCCACACTTGAAACAGAGCCCATTGGCACGACGGAAGTCGCG